ACTATAAATATATTCCACCAAAAGGATTTGTTAAGTCCGTCTAAAATGGCCGGGTTTGTTTGTCTATGACATGTCTATGACAAGCAGACTTTAATATCCAACTGACATTATTGTCATTATTGACATTGTTTTGTGAAAAGATATGGCTGTACTCTGTAGACTTGTAGACCGGTAGCTGTTTCTAAGTCGCTGCATCTGAGACAAGGCACTGCGGTGTTAAATTAAAGATCAATTTAAAAATATTTGCGTTGACGGAAACAACACCAGTGTTTACAGAGACATGTAACCCTGTTACACAGACATGCCGGTGTCTTGTCTAGTTGAACAAGCTTCCAACACGTGTTTAAACACGGCTTCTGTCTTTAGACCTCCCAATGTGTTTTGTAGTTCAAATGACTGATTGAAATAATAAGAAAACTGCTAAAACAAAAAAATATGAAATGCAGACATCACTATGATTTCATTGTCTCCTCAATCTTCTTGCGGTAGTTTTAGTTACTTATTAAATTTACTGCAAAGTTTTTTTACGGTCTTCGTTTAAAAATACATCTTCGTATATTGCCTATTGATTTCAAACACTCGTTCTGCCTTGACTGAATCATACCTCAGTGCTCAGCCGAGCTTAACATTGAATCGCGGTGATTTTTTAGTAGTTATATACAAAACAGAGATGCACAGATCTGCACTATTCTGATAAGTATTACATGTAAATATAAGTTAACTGTCTTTGCTTGTCGCCTTTTCACGGTGATGCAACGAAGCTTGGGAGTCTTATCCCCGCAGTCATCAGACCTGTTACAACCGCCCGTAACCTCTCGTGAGAGAATCATTGTGCTTTGGACAATAATTAGTTACACATCAGTTTGAAGTATCATAGACAACCTTGATAACTAGCTTGTGCAAGGGGAAGAGATCTTTCGAAACACACAAGTAAGCATGATTCAGTCAACGTTGAAAATCTTGTTCCATGACCGTTCTGTACTTCCTTCACGATCCGCGGGATTTTCGCGAAAGCTTCTCCCACCGAATTGAAACCTTAATTCCACCTCTTACCAACACCCGAAAAAAGCTGAGAAATAAAGGCAAAAAAAACAAACAAACAAACAGAAAAGGGGAAAAATTCTGTTTTCTGCCCATGCCCGAACCTCCGACGCCAAACCAAGCAGTGACCACATGCACGTCTGCAATAGTCTCCTCTATCAAGAATGCTACTTAAGTGTCCAACTGTTCCATTAGGATCCATTAGGATGTTCAAAACCTTCAAGTACCCAAATAATTTCAAGCATATTGCATCCTTTTTTACTTTTTTCACGGGCTATAAATGTAATAAGGTATATGAAATAACTCCAAAGAAAAGGTTTTTATGGGAGCCCGAGAACAGATTTTTACCTTTGTTTTCTATTCGGGTGAAATTTGAAGTTATTCTCACGGGCTCCCAAAAGAAATTGTCTTTCTGCTGATCCGGGGTTCACCCTAGGAAAATTTGCTGAATCCTTGGTGCACTCGAGTTTTATTAAACACTTGTGATCTAATCCACAAACCAGGCTGAATATGACTATCTCGATATCTCGCTTTCGCAGGCCCGGTGAGACCGGTTTAATGCTCTGCAAAAACAGAAATTAGAGAAATTTTCATGTCTGTTGAAGTGTTTTATTCGATTCCAGCAGATCCCCAGTGAGCTTTCTCAGGTTGATCGATTTTGGTGATAGGAATGAGAGGAGTCGAAATCGGCCTGTAATCCTACGAGAGACTAATGTAAACAAAATCAGACGTCCAAGTAGCGGAAGTCCGATTTGTTTAATCACTAAGTACGATTACAAACCGAATTGGACGACGCGAAGTCCTGTTACCAATTAATCATAACTAACACAAAATTTGAAGGGAAGAGAGGACGGGGGAGACCAAGAGTTACCCGGATGAAAAACATCAAAGAATGGTTAGGACACACCTGTAATAGACGTGTAAGAAGGACGGAAGATCGGAACAGCTGGAGATTTATGATAGCCGACCTACTACTAGTTGATGGCACTTGATGATGATGAAGACAAAATTTGTGATGGTTAAAAGTTTAAAAAAATAAAACACGATCTTCTTCTTTCACAGTCCTTTCAGCTATAGCTGCCGACAGCCAATCAGATTAGAGAATTTTGCTACGATTAATTATTATAATCATAACTATAACAAGCGGGCTATTCAAGAACACCCCACCTCCCCCGCACCCCATCTGGTTAGCCTGTTGACACAATCTTTTGTCTTGCGAATCGGAGGTAAGACTGAAATATTTTTTCTACATGAATCTTGCATTTTCCGACAAACTGCACTATAAATGTATTTAGATCTTAGACTTTTTATTGTGATAGTGCAAGAGAGTAGGCCCAGTCTATCCGTGGGGTGGTGTGCCACATGTCTTATGCTTGCCCTAGCTCGAGTGGTTCGTTTTCATTATACCTAGGATGAAGTAAACCGTACCCACAGCCCGGGTACATCATGCTTAACGTGCGGCAAAGAATACGAGTACTACATCGGCATAATACCAGAATCTTCAGATGAAAGTGAATAGGGAGTTTTAGATACCTTTCGATGCCGACGGCGATGGCAATGAGAACTGTTGATTTATTAGAGTAGATGACAAGGAACACGGCAAGGATCGAACTCAACAACATTTAAAGTGGAGTTTAAACCGCCATTACAAAAATAAAGCACATGGTCGATAGAGAGTATCATGAAGAATCATGGGAACGCTAGGTACGTACTACGTGCATATTGCAACTCGCATGAAGGCGAATTCTCCTGAGGTTGAACTCTCAAGAACCATAACTAAGGTTCAGGCGGGATTTATTGCCGTGTAGAAATTGGATTTGTCAGACCCTAACGTATGACGGTACTGGGTGTAAAAATCTATTCTAGGGTTCTTCAACATGGCCGATTCCTCAAGACCTAGTACAATATGCAAGTATGCCTACTATAAAATACTGCTGATTATTACACTGACCTTGATCGCAAGCTACAACCCTGAACAACAGTCCTTGGGACCGTAATGCTTTATTCATAATTTTATGTAACTTTTGGGTGTCCTCATAGAACAGTGCATCCTTTTCGAAAATTGGTTCCAGTTCTCCCTCCCCCACCTTATACGAAGTTGAAACTCGGTAAATATTCTGGATACAAGCGTCCAACGTTGTTTGCGAGGTGGGGCGAAGGGTTGGGTTAGTGTTAGGGTTAGGGTTAGCCCCACAAAGTCTTTTGTCCAGTATTATATTTCCTGTTGTTTAGGCCTCAATACTGTTGGATTCCGTGCCAGCAATACACTAACCTGAGACCAGGCTCTATTTTCGTTTCGCTTGATAAATAAAATTCTGGCGGGAAAGTAGCCTGCGTGCAGACGATAACTAAACTCTGATTAGTACCGTCTGCGAAGCAGCGCAGAGATCCTTGTTCTGGGCCCCCAACGGACTCAACGAATTACCGGAAGTGCGTTTCGAATTCCCCTTCAACCTGATTGGCGATCACGACAAACAAAACAAAGGCCTTTTTTAACTGGCCAATCGTGGCGCGTACTCAAATCTGGGTACACAGCTGGAAGTTCAGAACAAGGATTTCGGCGCTGTTTCGCAGACGGAGTTAACCAGAGTTTAATTTCGTCTGCGCGCAGGCTAGCGGGAAAGGTGAAACGAAATTTTTAAAAATTTAGCGCGACCACGTAAGAAACAATGTATGCAGGCTGCTAAAATTGGGCCTGTCTTAGGTTAACAAAAGACAGGTGACATCGTTGTAGTCTAGAATATATTTAATATGTTTTAATATTATTGACCTTCGTATTTACAACATGGAGCTATGAAAAGTGTTCCAAAAATGTCTTCTCAAAAAACGTACTAGAGAATTGTTTTTTAAATTTATGAGTATCAAAGCGATCATTAGATTTATCTGCGCTATCTCAAGTTTTTTCTTCTCTATATGTATAAAAGATGAGGCGTATTAAATGATATATTTACATTAGAAAAGATTACACTAGATTTAGAAACAACTGATATCCAAGCATTATACATAAAAAGCTCCTCTTGTCCTTAAATCGTTATCAAAATTGTCTTTACATAGGCAATCGATTTTCCGAAATTGTTATTTGACTGGGGAACTAAACTGGGCAACTTCTGGGTTTGGCGAGGTGATCGCCTATTAAAGATAATTCAACGTTATTGGTGAACATTTCTAATAGTAATAGTTAATTATTGCTATCTGTCTTCTGATTCACTACAATTTCGTATTTTGCAAAGAAAGATACATAGTAAGAGTAGTTAACTAGGAAAATCAGTCAGAAAATTTACTGCTTTTCATCAAATGTATTGTTTCTTTAAAGCATGAAAATAACTGTACGACAAATTAACTGTTTGTTTTGCAAAACGTTAGAATCCTTCTACTGATATACACCCCGGACTTTACAATGCTTATCCCGGTCTTAAATACAAATGAAAACTGAGCTAAATTATATAAATATCAAGAACAAGGAACTCTGAGGTACCTAAGTCCATACACTTACTTCACTTCACTTCAAGTCAGTTGTTTATTTGTTTAGTTGTGCTTTCAATCTCCGTTTCTTTTGCCTAAGCAGTTTCTCTAACCCAACAAAAAATTTAAGCTTATCAAAAAATCCTCATGGATCAGATAGTTAGTTCAAATGATCCTTCAAAGGAAAATGACAAAATCTAAAAGTGATTATATTATTTAACAAGGTGACCATGAAGAGGCCTGCATTGAAACATTTCTACAAAACTTTTTCAATGAATGCTACCTGAATGTACTTTACACAATCGGCTTCGATAGATGTCCTGAGGGCGCTTTCTATTTGTCAGAACTGATCGGCCAGCCTATTCCCACCGTAATGAGAATTTCACTTTAATCAAAAAGTAATCACCCAGATCAGTGAAATACTAAACATTATGCACAAAGGAAATGGTTTTTCAGCAAAACCTTTAGGAAAAAAAAACAATTTCATTGCCAAAATGTCTGGTGGGTCTAGCCATGGTCCAGCCGGCCAGTTTTGACTTTTGGAAAGCGCCTTTAGTTTTCCCGCACGAATTCTGAGTTCCTTCGCGATATTTCAACAATGGGCCTTGGAATAATAGCGCCCAGGTGAGGCTGAGCCGTACATAAAAAGTATTCATGATGAGAATTTTTTCAAAGGACTTTTTAAGGTTTCGTCCACAAGAGTGGGCATCTTTTGTAAACAGATCTCCAGAGTGGTTTGCGGTTTCGTCCATACGGATCCGGCTTAAAAATAGGCTATTTCCAAATGTCCTGATTCATGTGGACAGAGCCCAAAGAACCTACTCGAATGTCTCATGTGTATATCTATGTCTCCTTAAATCCACTTTCCGCATAAACGATATTCCGCAGTCTTCACACGAGAATGGCTTGAACCCCTTATGCTTACGGCAGTGCGTGATTAGATTGGATGACTGGCTGAACGACTTGCCACAAAAGCTACACTGATGAGGCTTTTCCCCTGTGTGAATGTAAGTGTGTTTCTTCATATCGGACTTCTGATGGAATCTCTTGCTGCAAAACTGACACTCGAAAGGACGCGTGTCGGAATGAATTAACATGTGCGTAGACAGAGTGGAGGATCGCTTGAAGCTCTTTCCACACGCCTTGCATTGGAATGGTTTCTTGTTTGAGTGTACTATCATGTGTTGCTTCAAGCTGATGGAATTATTAAAAACTTTATCACAAATCTGACAGTTATAGAGTTGTTTCGCTCCCCTTGCCTTACGCTCATTTCTCAGACCTTCTATGTTTTCTTCATCATTTTCTGTTTGAAACTCTTCATCAGACTGAGTTTTTCGGCTGGCAGGTCTTTCTCCTTGCGGAATTATTACATTGTATAATCGATACGCCCCTGGCAGGCTAAATGGGGAATTATTTTGAAGGCGCCTCATCTCCGCCCACTGGCGCATCCAGCGCGCAAAGGATTCTGCTCCGCTGTGGGGTTGTTGAAGGCAATTCCAGAGAGGAAAAGTAGGTGCTTTCCAGAAAGAACGTTGCTGCTCTACAGGAGACGGTGGAGCTGGTAGATATCGCAGCCCTTGGTCGACTGGATTCGGTAATGCCAGATCTAAAATTCCAAATAGAAACTTTAGATTAATTTGGCTTTAAGAGAATACTTGAGATTTCTAAGTGTTCTCTGTTTTTAATCAGTTTCACAATAATGCTAATATCCATTAAGGTTTCCCCCCCGAGCTTCTCATTATCTGCTATTGAAGTACTAATGTTAATCAGTTACCGTATTAATGATTCTTAGTGACTGCTGCTTTCACGGTTTTTTATTTTCAATTAGACAATAAGGCTATGTTCACATTATATCGGATAGCTTTTGCGCCGGCAGGAAACCATGCTGGATAGAGCTCCTGTTCACGCATAAGAACGGTGATTTCGGCGCGATTCTTAACGGAGCGAGGCTGCACCTCGTTGATCTCTAAAGCAGAGAGTCACGTATGGGATAAGTGTTCGTTTCGTCATGAAAAACTATCCGGTATGGTGTGAAAATAGCACCCATGGCCTTAATTTTACATCAGAAGCGTGGGAATGAAAAACCTAGGGGGCAGCGTTACCGAGTGGTTAGAGCACGGGACTTTCAGGGATTCGGAGGCCTCGAGTTCAAGTCCCTCTCTAACTGCTACCTGGATTTGTTCATGGCAGTCCCGAGTTCAAATCCTCTACTACGCTTGTAACTAGCCAGCTTGTTTGCCTTCGGCCAGCTGGGATTGTTAACCCTGTTAAGTTTGATTTAAAGATTGATTTGTTTCAGACGGCATTGGCTCGGGCCCATTAGCATTAGTGATATTCATACTGCCGAGGGTCAGAAGAATGGAATTATTTTTATCATTAATTTATAATAGATCGTTCGCCTTCCAAGGTTAAACCTTTACCATCTTTTTATTATTATGCAAGAAATCATACCAGTTGAAGCAAAAGGCCATCTATCTTGTGATGCATTCTTTATGTCTGTTGCTGTAAACGACTCATAGTTGGCGACGTTGTTGTGCTCCAAATCCTGCCCATGTTCATTGCTATCACTTTCATCTACAGTAAAGGAGAAACATTCAGACTTTAAAATTGGAGATCTAGAGTAATTAAATAAATGACAATTCGATAAGTAAAAACGATGTAGTTGTAGATGTAGTGGTTCTTCCTCTAACATCACGGATTGAATTGAATATGTTAGTTTTTCAACCTCGTTCCCAGGGTTCTCTCCTACCCACCTTACGGAGCGGCGGGTACGAGAGAACCCTGGGAACGAGGTTGTTAGTTTTTGAGCCCGGAGGCCGGGGAAATGAAATCGGAGCAACGAAGTGGGCACAAGGGGTGTCATCCACGCGGAGTTCCCTCAATCCGAAACGCGACTTGTTACACGAGAATTCAAAGATTGTCTTATCACCAAGCTCCGGTTGTTGAAATGTCGGATAGTGCCATCCACTCAGACAAAAAACAGTGGATAAAGCAATTTGCTCCTCTAATAATTTTCCGCAGGATGGTTATTTATCCAATGAATAACGCTATCCAAAGTTATAACCTGGATCACTCAGTCGTCTACCTTGAAGTCACAGGGTGTAGCTTTAACATACCGGTTTCTGTGATAAAACTTGAACACACGTGAAAAGCTAATCTGAAGCAGCTCTTGTTGTTGCTAGCTCATAGATACCGAACAGCATAGATGCAGTTCAGTCCCCCACGACCAGTCTTGGTTACTAATTTTTCTAGCGGTGTATATTTAACTAAAACGATAATTCTTTTCTCATTTTGCGGCCGACTGCATTAAAATAAAATTCAAAGTCTTTTAGGATAAGATGCCGATTCTTGTTAAAACACTATGACTGCATTTGATTTCAAGTCTGAGGTGGATAAGTCATTAAGTGTAAAGACTTTGTCCAAAGATTTCTTCAGAGAATAGACCACAGCATAAACTACATGTTACTGGGACTCACACTCAAAAAATGATTGATCAATTGCCATTGTTATGTCAGCATTTGAGGATCGGTATTTATTACAGAAAATCGTTGCAGGTTCGAAATAATTTTAAGGCCGGTTATCATTGATATTTAAGAGCAATTGTCAGAGTACAGGAGAAAAAGAATGCGTCATTGTAATTTATGGTTTTTGGCAAGCGTTAGGAAATGAAGCAAGATAGTTTGAATCGCGTTAACTTTAATCCTTTTGAAGTATTCCGACACGAGAACTTTGGTGCACTGGAGTCACGCACGAGTTTTGTTTATGTTTTGAATCTAGGCTCTGAAGGCTGGAACAAGTAACGCATGCGTGATTAGTACTAATTGACGCCATTTTGAAGTATGACTGGTGTCGGGTTGTTATTTATAATCAAATTTCGACCCTGCTCGCCTTAGAGCCTCCACTAGCTCAGTAGTTGGAGCATCAGTAGAACTCGGATGGTTGTGAGTTCGATTCTCACCTGGAGTTCAGAATTTTATCTGAGTTTTCTGGTGTTAGAATTCTCCTTCTTCCAAAATGTATGAGGTATCCCACAAAAGATGAATTGCGCAGTGAAAAACAGGAAATAAATTCAAAACCCTTTTCAAAAGTCATCTTTAACTGAATACTGCGTCCAACTCCCAGAATATAACTATTAGCTAAAAGAAATCTGATAATAATTAGAACTTTACAGCGAAGTCAGTCAAAATCTGGTATCTCTTCTTTGCCGTATTTTTTTACTTCATAGCCACTAAACCTTAAACAATATATGCATATCTGTAATATAACTCCTGTATTTGTTAGGAGGACATGTATTCGTTCATCCGTTTATTCAAAACTCTCACTAAACCTTAAAAATTATATATCTGTAACATAACGCCTCAGTATTTGTCAGGAATTCGTGTATTCGTTCACCCGTTCCCTCAACACTCTGGTTCGCCCCCATTAACAGGTACCACTTATCTTTGAAAAGAATTCTGTCAGCGATGCTGACGGATACGAAACTAATAATTGTAAGATTCATTTCAGATTTCTGGTGTTCAAACTCAGCCTAAATCACGGGTGAAAACTATGGCCGAATGATTTATCTCGGCGCGGACAAATGAATACAATAAGTATGTGTTTCAAGTTTAAATCGAGCCTTCACTCGTTTTTCAAAATGAAATCATCAGTTGGATTTAAAAGGCCTTGTTTGGCGTCAATAGGATCGATATGCTCGTCAAAAAGGTATGTAATAATTCCAAGCTTTTATTCCTGGCAGAAACATTTACTGAAATATGAGGAACACGTCTTCAATAACCTAACCACCAAGGTTGTGGATAATAATTGTGATTTAGATAGCTTTCTTTACGAGCTTAGAGTTTATTCTATAGTTCGAAGGCTGATAACATAAATACTAAACGAAATGATTAAAAGCAAATTAAAACTAACAGCTCTTTTGCGTTTAAAAGTTTCTTTTCCACTGTTGTTAATTGGACGGAAATGTTGACTGTATACCTATCTATATAGCAATTTTCGTACGTCAGTATGGTTCTTTAGTGAACGGCTCAGACTGGGCAATCTTGCATCAACCCCAGAAAAACAATTGGCTTGCTTATCCAAAACGTTGTTTCCAATTCCATAGAGCTGCCTACATCTGGGATAAAATTTCTCCATTTTAAAATTCACAACAATAGAAACTAAACACATTTTAATCTCTGTCCCATCAGTTTTTAGAATTAATAATGGCTGGTAAGTTTAATTATTCTTTAGAGAAAACCTGTTGTCGTAAATTACGTACTCAACCTTTCCTTTCATAAAATGTAGCAAAACGAGGATAATTGAATAAAAAATTTTACACCTGGAGAAACTCTGAAGTCCATATGAAAATCAAGTCAATCGACCACCTGGATTGCCATAGTAATTCACGAATTTGAACTTTGCATAAAATGACTTTGCAGTGTTTCAAAAGATGATGATTGGTAAGTTAAGCATGCATAGCTTTTTCGAATACTTGCGAATTCGTCTAAAATTCTCCTGTCTTCTTTTAAATCGTTCTCATATAAAATGGCTCTGTTTAACTGAATCAATATTTGAAATAAAGCATCAGAATTAAAATGCCTTTAAAAGAGTCGGTAAAGTCCGTGAAGATGCGACTGTCTAGTTAATCTTCCTTGAAATCTTTTCTTATTGAAGTGATAAACTTGAATACGTTATTAGCAGAGAGATCTCTTTTTCGGTGATATTCTTGTACTAAATCTAATGTAAATATTTTCATTTAGGCTTTGCTTGGATTTTATCCACTAGAGTAAGTTTTAAGTGCTCTTTTCTAGCACAAATATTTGAATTGTAAGAGCAAAACATATTTAAACGTACCGATTTTTTTCTTCCTATGTCCACCATCGATTTCTAACTTAATTGATGATACACATGGCTTTATGAGAAATGATTTCGGCATCGTTGAGCTACACAAAATTGAACTAAAATAACGCAGTTATGTTCTATTTGATAAAACAATAGAAACCTAGGGTGTGGTTACATAGATTTAACAGAGATGTTACGCAAATATGCTTTCACGTGATTGGGTAGGACGAAAACGTTTGACAGTCCGTTGTTGTTTTAAAAGCTTGAGAACAGCTATTCATCGAAAATGTGAATTCGAAACTTTACTTGCAAAATTATTTGCTTGTAGGGCCGGTGTATCCATTAGTAGCCTCTGCTTCGGTTTTGGGCTCAGTTTCATCGGGTTTACCATTCGAAAACTTAAAATCTTACTTAAGATCGACGTGCTACTCATTAGCACGATCTCTTGAAAATCTCAATGAGGAAGCAATATTGCCGGAGTTGTTCATTTCTAGGGTGTTGTAAACTTGGCAGATCTACAACTTTCCTAAATTTGCGCGTTTTTCCAAAGAAATCCGTGTATTTTACGTTTTTTTTTTTCGCTTCATGTATATAGTCCCACTGATGAAGGCAAAATTATCTGGCTCTCCTTAAACCAATGTATGATCATTATCCACATAATTTAGTCCGTGTGTTTGGCAAGCAATTTAGAAATCCACGAGGATATATGCGTGGCCTTGGTCTTCCGAAATCCAGATAACGAGAAACCTGGAGGAACATGGTTACCCAAGACAAATAACTGATAAGGGCTGATGTAGTCTCTATGATGGAAAATTTTTCCCGATTTTTGGTCCTTCTACGTAAGATAAATGTGATTAACAGTTTTAAAATTTGAAAACGTTTCTTTTGCAAATTCTTTCAGTTCTCAGCTTTAAGAAGTTTTTGGTACATTTCTTTTCATTCAAAGTAGTTTTGCCCTTAGAAATGTTGCATTAAAAAAGCTTCCACGCCTCCTGACAATTAAGATGACTACGCCAGTCCTCATTCATTCAATTGTATTTTGGTATAATACACTCAGGGAAAACTTTCCAGACGGGTTTCTAAAACCAAGGGCAAAAAACATCACGTCTTTGATGGCAATTCCACAAAGATCTCTCGGTTAACTCTTTGGGTTCTAACAGGCATCTGTAAACCAGGTGGAGATTTGCAATTCTTAAAAAACATTTCATTTATTGAAGTTCTTTGAACTCTTCTCGAAATTTTATGTATAAGATCTGAGTCTAATTTTTCACGAGTACAAAATATTTTATTAGAATGTTTAATCATAAATTTAACTTAACTAGAGAATCAGACTATTTTTAAGAAGCAACATGCTGACTCAAAGCAGAAATTTAGTCTTTTTTTTTTCTTTTAATACTTTCGTTCAATTGCCTGCTGACTATGAGGACCCACTTGAACCGTGATGAAGTTCGAAGCTGTTAATTAAACGTAAAACTTCGGTATGTTCGGGATGATTTCTTGACAAACAGAACCGACAGGTTTCAAGTTAATAATTCTCTTTTCGTGCAGTCAGGAGCCGAAATCAGTGTGGTTTCTATTGAGAAACTACAAAATAAAAATCATTAAAATAAAAGAACTGTAACCTGTCAACACAATAAATTTTAAACTAAAAATTGGCAACAAAGTGCCTTTTTAGATTTTGAGTCTTTTACCGGATGCATTTAAGCATGTACACAGTTAAAACGAGAACAGGTGCTAAAATGAATTAAAAAATTGTCCTATGATGTTTGTTTGCAAATTTAAACTGTATTCAGCAAATCGTGAAAATCTCCTGAAAATCACTCAGCACAGAGAGTTTCAGGTTAGCTCAGATTAGCATTTCACCACGATTCAAGTTATTTTGAAATTAAAATTCCGATGAACGTTTTCTTTTCCATCGATGCCTAATTACGCTGAAAGTTATCAATCTATTTATTGTAGTTTTTGTGTCGTAGGCGTGACATTAAAGAAGCCTTATATTGAAAGCCATTACGTTATCAGCCCAATTCGGTAGGTTAGAACGGCAGACTTGTTTTAAAATCTCCCAGGAAAAGTAACTCTTTGTAGACTTTCATAATCACGTTTAGTTTTCGAAAAACATCACCAACAATCGTGCTTAATATTACATATTCAACAAAGACAGGAGCCGTCATAAATTTTGTATAAAGATGATTTTTTTTTTCAGTTCTGCCAGATTCAATAAAAATCAGAAGGTTTATCAGACTTACTGGCAATTATGTAAAAGACTGTTTCCAAGTTCTTGTCAGAGCAAGGTCACGTTATTAAGGACAAAAATCAAGTTTGTTGAGAAATGCCTCCTAGAGATGCATAGCTTTAGAAATCTAACACTAAATCTGTAACTGAATTGGTAAAACAGGGTGGTATACAATGGTGGCAACGAGCCAGTTTATCTATAAAGCACGCTTGGTACAAAGAAAACGCCGCCGCACGAAGAAAACATTGCGCTGAAAAAAAAAGAACAAAAGATAAATCGTGAATTTAATGCCTTCAGATGTTTTCTTCGGGACTTGATAAGTCAAGAATGTGATTGCTCTGAAATTGAGAAAAGGAAGGAATGAGAAAAAAGAGAAAAATCTGCAATTTAAATTGATTGTTTCAATCAAGAAGGTACGAAATATCGCTTTGAAAATCAGTGCAGATAGAATTGTGGAGAGAGTTACTAACAAAACATCCACTAAAATAAACCACTGCAGCCACAAAGTGTTTTTTAGTTATTTTTTGGAATATATACAGAGCTAGCAACCTTTTGTTATTACGTACCTAACCATTATTATTATTATTATTATTATTTTCTAAACTCATGAAGCCAATAGATATATTGGCAAATGCAAAAAAACGCATAGTATATAATAGCTGTAAGGGGTTGTTTGCCAAGAATTTAAGTTTCCCCTACTAAATTCTAGTAACTAAGGGCAATCCTGTTTTTTTATTGTGAATTTAATCCACCCCCAGCTATGGTCTAGAGGCTAAAAAAGCCCAATAAATTGTAAAGAATCAAACAGTGAGCTCTAAAAATTTAGTATTTGCTATTTAAAACACAAGAAGGTTTCGCTCTCATTTTCAGTCCTAGATTAAAGGCTAAAAAAGCATTAGTTGGATAGGAACCATAGGGTCTCCAAAAAACGTCACGGATTTTTGATAAATACCCTTTCAATTTTAAGAGATGTAAAATATCATTTCTTGGGTCTTAAGTATTAGTGTATATGTGACATGCTAATGTTTTCAGCCTAAGAAATGTCCGTGTTATTTAATATATATTTAAACCAATTTATTCCGTTTTTTGCTGTAAGATGTCGTGAAACGCAATGTCTGAAATGTTTTCTTTCCAGTGGAATGCTCAGGGGATTTTTCGGAATCATTTTAAGACTTTAGGGCTACTACACAGGAGCGCTTCCAAAGCTATCACTGCTTTGTGTGTGTGCTTTTTCTTGTGCTTTTGTGTGCATGGAGATGTGTTCATAGAATCAGATTCACATTTTATACACACACTTAATGCGAATGCAAGTCAAATGACTGACCTGTATTGATGGTGCGAGCTATTATTGAGCACTATTTGCTAACAGTTTGACCATTTTTATCGTTCTAACTTTCAAAACCTCATTTTAAAGTGTAAACAGCCATTAGAGCAAGAATGACTCTAGTTTTTGTACTTCGAGTTGAAAAATTTTGATACCACCAATGGCAAATATTTCTAACTCGACATACATTTATTTCTGGTGGGCTTTTGGAACTCATCCATCACTGAGTGGTCTTCAATTTGTTGTTATTTTTACGTTTTCCCGTCTTGAGGCTCCCATTTTTCTGTGTATTTTGCTTGGTTAACATTTTTTTAGTTTCGTTTAAATTTCTTAGTCTTCATTTATATTTTGCATCGTCATTCATTTATATTTTGCATCGTCCTGCCCAGACGATGCAAAGTTAAGTTCCTTGTCGTTAATCATATATTCCGCCACCGTAAAGATATCAAGGAATCTGTAAGAAATTATCAAGCTTCCAGTAAAGTAGTACATGTTTGTGTGTCAATTTCGTGATTAAGAAAAAAAAGAGCGGAATTTAGATTTGTATACCTAAAATATAGCCTTATGTTTGAAGCCTAAGGTGTTTTGCAGAAGGGTGTTCTAAAAAATAGGACACCTAGCAGATTCTCATTTAGGAAAGCACAGAGTTAGTCAGTTTTTGTTAATTGAACTGAAAAACTCGCGGATTAGGAAAACGGATATCAGCAAAAGTCCAGAAGAAAAATAAAAGCGAATGGAAGGGGAAAAAGTAGAAAATGGGGTTTTAACACCTCAAAAAGGTGTGGTCAATTGAGATGAAGTTGCTAATTAAAATCATCTTCAAAATGATACATTTCCAGCCGTCTAACAGGTTTTATTTCAAATTTCTTTAATTTCTTTTCCAAGGCCAAAAACGCCAAGGTTACCCCCAAAGGGGAGGTTCCATTAGTTTAACCTTTTTTATCAGAATTGTATTGCCCTTTTTTTCCCCTTCCCTTATTTCCTAGAATGGAAGTTCCCACGATGATAATCGCCATCGAGTATTGAAAGTTAAAACTTTATTATCCCAGTCTTAAGAATCGATTGTAATAGCTCTTCACAAACATGTTGCATTTAGCGGGCCTCTGTTTATCTTAATTAAATATGAAATCGCGCTGGGTGAGCAATGCTGGAATCCAATTTAAATATGACGTTTCAAACATTTTATTAAACGGGCAAATCAGTTTTTAATTCAATGAAAGTAAAATGAAAATGGTGATTTTTGCTTGGATTTAATGCGTCAGCTAATGGTCGTTTCGGAAACTGTGAGTTTTCACTTTCTTGGGGAGTTGAAAATTTAATTAAAAATAATTCTGGAAAAGGTAACTTGAGACATTTCAACACAACTAGTTGCAGTTTGACAAAGAACGAAAATTGCCACCGGCAAATGGTAAACAAAATTTTGGGCTAAAAATCAAAAGGCGAGTTTGCCAAAGTATTCTCGCGTGTCCTAAACTAAATCGATAAAATTAGAGCATGGATTGCGCGTCATATAAAGCTCAGTTGAACCGTTTACAGATATTTCTTTAGTGTAAATTATCCAGATGTTTGAATTTAGTTTAGTAGCCTCAAGTTAAACGCTGTGATTGTCTTTTATAACAGGCTACCCTAAAGTTATTTTGTCTTAGGGTTTTAAAAGATCAGCTAAATAAGATACCAGCTCATAAAATATACTGGAAAAAATAAGTTGAAGTTACCTTCCGATTCTGTCTCGCTATTTGAAGTAGCATCAGAATCGCAGCCATTTTTAGAAATTTCTTGTGCAGCGATCGCATCTTCATCCGTTTTTGTCGGCGATAACCCGAAGGTTTCAGTTTCGGGCAGAGAACTGTTTTGCTTTTCTAAACAACAGACAAAACCAAGTAGGCACATTATTGAATCTAAACATATACAAAATAAATCAACTGCGGATCATAATTAAATAGACATGATTTAAAATTCTCTTTTCTCTTTAGCAAATTGGCGTGTTAATCACAGAAGAGCGCCAAATCTGCTCTGATGAGTTAGGGAAAATGAGATCTATGATGCGTAACTTTAAGCAGGTACCAGGAGAAGTTAACTGTGAAGTGAGCAAATCATTACAAGAAGCCGAACCCTAGAAAATCACAACCTGTTCAGTACTGTATTTACCTTGCTCCTTTCCTGTCTCAACACCCTGCGGAGAAACATCGCTGGAAATTACAGCAGGCTTCGTTCGCACGAGAAAAGCTCTTGGCATTTTGATTTTGCTCCTTTCTTTGCTTGCAGTGTTCGTTCTGAATAAGAATGACGGTAGAGGTTTCCTCGGAATGTAACGGGCGTGCAGATAGTAGGTTTGTAGACAAGGCAACACTAAGCCTGTTTATGGGCTATTTATAATGGTTGGTGCTTGTAGGGAATTAAAATTCAGGGATACGTTTAAGATTTGCAACCTCACCTGGCAGAAATCGGACAGGTGCATATAGCTTGCAAATTGTCCAAAAATTCTACGTGGTTTTATCTGCGCCCACCTGCTTAATAACTATGCGTTTGGACGACTTGTAAGATGAGTCCCCATTTACTTAACACAGGGCACGCAGACATATCACTGACACCTTATGGACAGATTCTGGCGGGAATTTCTGTGTTACCACCCAATTTCCCGGAGATACCTAACAGTATGTCGTAAGGTGTCTGATTTCCGTCTTCCGCTGGATTCATTTCTAAACAGAGCTTGTTTGTTTCGTTTCACTATAAATATGGACTTGCGCGAGTCCCTTTGTTGTGCAAATCATGGAACAAGATGGCGTCTTTAATTATTAATTAAACGGCACTCTAAAAATTGAGAGTGAAACCGTGGATATTCCAAGCAGTGACAACGGGTGATTTTCCGGCATTAAATCAGTCTACTTTTGCCATTAGGTTTTGATCCATACTTTTGATGCAAACTTTTAGAAAGGTACAACTCTAAGGAAACGCCCATAAATGTTTTACTGTTATTGCAGGAGAGGCCGTTTTGTTTATAGAGGAAATGCCTACTTAGTTTTCTCGGTATCAAAGAGCCATGAAAACGAAACGTTAAGTGACCTTGCTTGTTTCATTTTCTGTTAAAATATTAGTGACATTTTATCGAATAAGAGAAGGGGAATAGAGCACTTTACTCAATCAAATACGTACAATCACTTGCACTTTCTAATAAGCTATTGTCACGTACATCGTGGGAGGAAACTGCTTCCTTTCATATTGAGATTGGATTCCCAGTCTAGCATTTCAACCAAGTCACGATCAACAAAATCTAGTTCACCCATGCTTTGAGAGAGTCAATAAACTACATTTCTGAATAACTGTCTATTCATATTGCCTTGAACCAACCAGCTACGATACTTCTTTGCAGAAGCTAATCTTTGTGAGATGTTGCGCAATAACTGGTGAATTATCATTAGAAGCGCATACTCTTTAATTCTCTGATAAGGTCTGAAAACACTGAGACAAAAACAGGCAAACTACTGTTTAAGTAATTTATAGTTACACAGTAATAACTTTATTCGGTTTAACTAAAAGTATAGCATTAAATGACTCCCTTAAGTCGATTAAATAAATCGTGAGCTTTAAGAACTGGTCGTTTTGAAATAAGAGTATTGTAGGGTGGTGAATATTTTGCTTGCCTTTGTGCACCTAACTTATTCTTGATAAAAAGCTTTTCTTTTAATGTATAAGAAGCGAATCCGTGTAAGATTTCAAGCTATTCTTGCTTTTCTTTAATCTCATTTCTCAGCTATACATACTTTGGGTGCAATTATCCAATTCTGCAGTCACTCAGCTAGTTACACGCCACTCTTTACCGTAAATCTCTTTCATTATGGCGTACTCGATTCACCTTATACTGGAGTGAAAATTATCGGAAAGATTGCTAGTATCAAGTCCATTCCATCGGAAATTAACAGCCCCTAAAGTGTATTACACGTCTGAGTGCATGTTCATTCATGTGGAGTGGTATAGATGTATGTTATGCATTTCAGAATATGGAAGGTATTATGTTTGGTACATTCGTGTACTGAGGACACAAGCTATTTCGTAAGGAATTTATTAGCTGTACGCTTTGCGTCTAACAAAGCGTTTTTTTCCGCGAGGAATGCATCTTCAGACCCCTAGAATTGCTTCAACAGCTTCGAATGAACTTGATGGAAGGGCAAGTCAAATGCCTTAATATGGTGAGCAAAACTACAAAAATAATCATGAGTCCCTTGAATTGGCAATTGTACTCAGCTATCTCAGCGGATATGGATCATGTAATCTGTCTGCATTTTCTTTCCCTTTCTTTCCTTTACGCTAAACTTAGACGTAACAGTTGTTGGAAAAAAGAAAAGTGGAAAATCAAGTGTACAAATATAATAAGTGTTTTCATATACGAATTTATGTACTTTAAAGTATTTTCAATGCATATGGCTTACATAGTACATACTCGTTATAAGTCGAAACCTTTACGTTTCCTCTCGCTTTGTTAACAAAAATAGCTTGGACTATGATAGTGATGACTGGATTATGTGTGTGATAACTGGTGATATAGTACTGCAAATAGACCATGCAGAGTTCCTGTTGCGAAATATTCTGACCACAATGCAGTCTTTCTTCTTGCCTAACACCAATATCCACTCGGCAACTAATCACTTTTCATGTTGAAAGGGCTGATATTGAGATAAATACGGGTAGCTTAATAGCATGTGCCAGATTATTACATTGCCATAAATAAGGAAGATTTTAAAATTGGTTGACTTCGCAGAAATTTTGTCACAAAGTTTGAATGGACGCATTTTATTTAACTTCCTTCCAACATGGTTGCCAATGAGATTGCAAAATTTAATAATTCACTTAATATAATAATCATTTTACTTTTCAGGTTACTGTAATTTTATCTTCATTTGGCAGTTTATTTCTCATATTTCTTGTGCTAACTAAAAGAAAGACCAGACGCAACTGAGTTTCGGTTAGTTTTCTCGGCTTGCCTTCTCAAGTTCAAAAGCAGTCGCCAAATAAAGCGAAAGAAAAGAGAGAAACCCTTTAAATCGATAACAGTTAAAGCCAAAAGCTGCTGTAAGTGCTGCTAAATCTGAATCAACTCTTGAAATGTTTTCTTTTCTGTTAATGTTGAATAGCATAAACTCAATGTTGATTTGCATATTGGGAAAACTAAAAGAGTGATACTAACTGTAAACAAAAAGATTTAACTTAACTTCAGTTGATGTTAATTGAAAGCTGCTTGCCTTAATTCACCCTCAGAAATCCAGGAGAAATTAATTGGCGAGCGATACAAGTATGCAGCGGCCAAGATCGCTGCAAAATTTACAAGGAGAATTTGAAAGCCAACATGAAATACAGTTGGGCCAAATGGAATTAGGAAATTCAGTTGCTGCTAGAATTGGCTCGGTGATATGGAAAGCCCAGGACCTGACTCCTTTTTTTTTGAAGTGATCTCCTCCCCTTAGGTTTTCAATCCTAATTTTTTTCCCTTGGTTTTTAGAAGAAAACCTTATATTAACTATGGATTTTAGCAGTAACAGGAAATAAAACAACCAAGGCCTTTACTAAATACAATGGCCTTGACAACGAGTACAATCACAGAGCAAAAACAAAACCCCCAAGGAAACTGATGTTATCATAAGATGAGGAGAACAGGGAGGTGTGAGCAATCAGAAATCGTTTTTTACAGTTTTTTATTTCTTGTTTCCATGATTCACCTTAAGGCGGGAGTGTCCTTTATTCAAATATAGTACACGTTAAGGCATCTTTAGCAATTAACGCATTTCATGTAGTCTCAGTCCATTATCTTTAAGCATATACAACCTCTTTGCTGGATAGAAATTAACCTAACTCCAGATCTGGTTTTTTAAATACAAATTCTCTTCTACTATTAACGTAGGAACCGTAGCTCAAGCGTGGCCATAGTTTAACTCAGCTTGTTTAGAACTGGAAGAACCACTTGATTGCCACACCCAAAATTTACGCACAATAGTGTAGTGATGTCAAGGGTCACTGTTCTGTTCGAAACTAAGTCTATCATTGCCTAATTGTATTGTTCGTTCGGATATCTAAGTCCAATTTGTCTTCAGAGTTAGAGACACCCTGATTATTCATTACGATGTTATGCGTCCAATTAAATGATTCCGTTCGTGAAAACTGGTTTAACTCGGTCCAGAATCAGGCGTTCCTCCGACACTTGTTACGGCTGACATATACTGTGAGGTCGTATAACCCCTTGGCTAGCCTGCGTGTAAGCCCTCCATTTGAGGGAGACCCTGAGAAGTTAAGCTCTAGAGGCACGCGGGAAAACTCGTGCAGCACACTTCGCTCCACACCCAAAACGGAGAGCTTGATCACAGGCTAGGGTGCACTGATATTTGCTATCTCAACAGTTATTTCATATCTTGTTCATTTCCTTTCATGTTCAGAAGACACAATTTAAACGTGGCTCAGGTAACATCAAGCTCTGAGAAGTCATTGATTTGGCTGCACAGGAAAAAAGAGCTTCTGGTCAAAACATAAGTTTGCAAAGTCATTGTTGCTATAAAAAGCACCCCGATGGACATGACTGTGCCTTCTTAAGTCCACTTTGCGATAAAACGCCCTTCCGCACTTCTGACAAGCAAACGGCTTAAATCCAAGATGTTTGCGGCTGTGTGTAATAAGGTTTGAAGACTGACTGAAGCACTTGCCACAATGTCGACATTTGTGCGGTTTTTCGCCAGTGTGAACAAGCATGTGCTTCTTCATGTCTGACTTCTGATGAAATCTTTTCGCACAGTATTCACACGAGAAGGGTCTGATGTCAGCATGAATCAACATGTGCGTGGATAGAGTTGACGAACGTTTAAAATGCTTTCCGCAAGTTTGACATTCGAATATCTTTACAGAAGAGTGGGTTTTTCGGTGCTGCGCAAGGCTGACGTAATGACTGAAGGTTTTGCCGCACGTTACACATCCGTACGGACGGCTTCCGGCGTGTGTACGTCGTACGTGTACCTCCAGACCATGCGGTGTGCAAAACAGTTTCTGACACGTGTTGCATGCAAACGTCTCCTGGCTGTTGGAGGACCGCTGACTAATTGCACTTTGCAAATTTCCAGCTTCATCAATTTTTGCACCTTCTGGATTGAACGTGATTTTCCTGACATCTATGGACAGCTTAGGTCCAGAAAGCTCCCTGCCATTGACACGGGAAAAGTCCAACAGTTTTGAATCATTGTGCTCTGCCAAGAAACCTTTTCCTGTTGCTAAACTGAAGGGAAAGTCTTTGCTTTCTTGAAGCTTTGTATCTAAAAAAAGAAATTAAGATCAGCTTTATGTGAAAACTAATGTTGCAGGTATGATTGTTTTTTTTTTCATCGCGTGGATAATCTGTGTTGTATGTCAACGAACGAGGAAACATTTCTAGTAATATTTGCACTAAGAGTTAAGATTGTTTGTAGACACACTGCTTATGCTTCCGTTTCGTACCATCTTTAGAACTGCAAAGCTGCTGTAAGGAAAAAAAAATGTGAATGTAAAATGGGAATAATGAAGGCACTAAATGTTAACAACGGCTTCTCTATACTCAATTATAGGCTCAATAACTGAACTAAGTCTGTTAGTATTGCAGCTCAAGTACTTTCGTAGTTTTTCAAAATTTATCTCCAAGCAAGCGTATCCTAACCACTAACCGGCGAACATGGCATTATTAAAGCATGTACTTGGGGTTGTACCAGTCACTTTATATCATTGCTTTGTGCGAGGGAATCAGCTCAAGTGGATGGAGCGCCCGCCCAGTGTTTGGGATGTGATAGTTTCGAATCCTGTCGCGGACTCAGATTTTTTCTTTGTCCCATGCTCGTGACATGCTGATCATTTCATTTTCACAGGAGTAGAATAGTTATGCTAAAGTTTGTCCTGTTACTGCATCATTATTTTTGAGGTAGATTAAGTTTTCTGACCAGGGCCTGGTACTGCAGGGTATTTACGAGCTACTTCAGACGTTCCAGTTCTCTCTCAAAGACATTCACGTATTTGGTGTCAATAGAATATTGTTCGTAAAGAAAGTCCAGTTCAAAACGTTTTTATCACTGTGATTTTCACAAGTAGGACAGATGATGTCACAACAACTTACAATTTATCATATAAACAGCCTGAAAAAGATATGTAACTGTTGTTGCTTAGATAGTTTCGCTTAACGGCAACTACTTTTCACACGGGCCAAACAGTTTTAGTTATCATGCTAATAGCTTTTTATGTTCATTTTCACTCTTTATTCTTTTTAAATAAGTTAAAACGCTGATCGTTTTCAAAATGTCCTCACTGTCGTTCGTCAGATAAAGGACTAGAGTTGTGAGTTCAGAAAATACGAAATTAGAAGATCTTAGAAGATGTTACTTTTCATGGAAAAATTCTTAAGTCTAGACAGGCACGGCAGGGCTTGGTCTTAATTCCAGTGAATGTTTGAAAGGTTCAATATTCAAACTTTTTCTGAAAGATCAAATCTGGCCAGCCTTAAGCAAAAGGCTGGATCCGAGATTTATACCGGTAAAAATTCTATAAATTACACAAGGCCTCTCTGTTTGCAATCAAACGCCATTAAATGAAGCTTTATCACCGTTTAAAAAAAATGCTTTCTAGTTGGAGAATCTGCTAACTCTTTTTTGCTATGAAAATATATTCTCTTTCCTACGTGATGTTTCAAAAAAACCTCTTGTACAAAGTCGGACTTTTTTTTATGAATTCAATAATTGTGGTTGTTAATGTTGACGCGCCTTGCTCTCGATTCAGTTGTGTTTTATTTTTATTGATCAAAGGATCGCATTACACGGGTCAAGCTGGAGTCAGCTGTCCACAAGGACAACACCTTAAGTAGCATTCTGATTCTCAGTTCAAGTGAAAATGTGTTTAATTCACTAATACTTTGTCCCGAAGCGTGGAGCTTAACATTTCAAAGGGAATAAGCATTGAAATTTTTGAATTAATTCTAGGTTGCTGCTTGAATGAAACAGGTGACGAAATCTTTTGTTTCCTTTTCAATCACATGCTATTTACTCAGTGGACTTAGCTTATTAGGCAGATTAACTTCTCGAAAAGTATATTCAACGATTTGTAGTCTCTCAATCCGTTTTAAATCAGTTTCGTCCAAGCAGAATGCGAAAAAAAATTGTTTTCACACGGTCGGCAGAGCAAAAAGTGTACAATTTAAGCTCGTGTCAACCTGACAGGTAAATATCGGCTTATATTGCCCTCCTGCCGATTAAAATCTTCAATAATACCGGAACTTTTTCAACGGTGTAAGAGCAAATACTAAATCAGAATTTTCTTTATGAAGTTAGCCATTGTCGTACAAATAAGAGGACTTTTCACCTTTGTTTGCTGTTTTGTTAGCTTAAGCTTGGATTGATTCATTTGATTGAACAAAATCTCATATCCGGATAAAGACAAACGATCTTTAGAGTGTACGTTAAAAACTGTGATTTTTTTAGGAAATCATAATTCTCAGGAAATCAAATTTTTCCAGTTCCCTCGGTCGGGTGTAAACCAAACAAAAGACAATTTCAAAGAAATAAAAACTTTTCGAGAGAAGCAATAAATTATTAACACAGACCAGAAAAAAATAGAAATAATTATAAATATTTTTTGCAGTGCTTTGAGGACGTTTTTTCCACCCATTGCAATTTTGATAACCTTTTTTTGTTTTTTTGCGTAACTTTCGGCTTACGAGACCTAGTATGTTACAGTTTTTTTCTTTCTCATATACTTAAATTATAAAAATTCCACAAGGCCAGACATAGCTTGCTGTATCGTGCGACATAAATCACAAACCATTATCACAAAATATTCCTTTTTTCTTCGATCGTTGTCTTTTCAAAAGAAAATTTCGCAATTAATGACTACAATCAGACTATGCTCCTCAATCCTGCGAATTAATACTCCTTTAACTACGTACGCCCCAAAACAAGAAAAATACGTTAATTTTAATTCAAAGCGTACTTATAGATGATGTATAAAGTTGTTTTTGGTACTTAGTAAAATGCAGGAAAATTATCGTATCTTAACTCCAAACCATTGAGCACCAAGGTTAACATGAGGAAAAAAAAATCGTTTTCTTACTATGAATCTCCCGGTGGGTTGCTGCCTCAGTGGTACGTCCTCTACGCATTCGAACTAGAAATGATTTCGGCATGATGTGCTTTATCTTTGGATCAATACACCGGCTTCGCCGTCTTTCTTGTCCTTTAGGAATAATTGCGGAAGTATTGTTGGGTGAATCCTTATATCTCTTCACCTTGTGTGCGCTTTGACGGGTTTGAGAGCTGTATGAACTGGCTATCAAATTTATTTCAATCAATCAGGGAGAGCAAATGTTACAGTAATTAAACACAACACCTGAACTCCTTCTGTGATTAGCAAGGCTTGATTTCTTTGCTTCAATGCGATTGGCTGCCCCGTCACCGATTGCATGATGTTAATGAACTGTAGGCAACTGATTTGTGACTTATTTCGCTAAAGAGAGGAAATTGAAAACGAACTTGATTATGAAGATTAACATCAAAGTGAGCTCAATTGTGATTAAAATTTCTTGGGGTAAACGTCTTAAACAAAGGTCACAGTACGTTTTGCAACGAAGAGATCTTTTTGTAGCATGTTCGCGTGTTTAATTTAATGTTAGTATTAAATATATCTTTTGAACACGCTGTGCTTAACAAATCAAATTTCCATAAGATCAAATCCATTACCAATGGTTTATGTTTGACTGTGGAGTGCAATATTATTATTGAACTAAGTGTTTAATGGTAATAAAACTTGTTAGGGGAACTTCTAAAGTAACAAGGTTTACTACTGAATTGAACGCAATTACATTTCACTATGAACCCTGTTCCATACATTAATTTTTTTAGTCTTCTCCTTGACTTCGAATGTGAATTAGATACATAATTGTTAAAGTTTGAAACATGAACGAAAGTAAACGAAATCTGACTCAGTACTGTATTTATTAACTTTTCAAATCCTAAGATTAAGCAATTATTCAACAGAACAACCTAGAAAATTTGAAGATTTACAATACCTTCAAACTTCAGCACGTCTAATTTACCTGAAAACTTACAGACAAAACGAAATTTAATTGTTTCATTAAAGCCATTAGTTTTATCAGCACTTTAAGAGCGTGTGGCTTCTTATCTTTTAAAACGCTAAGTTACTCAACAAAGCGTTGTAGATTTAATTCATGAATCCTTTTTCACACGATTACGACGAAAATTGCCGCAAGGAAAAGTCAATTAAAATGATAAAATAATCAAAGATATAAGTTGACTGCGTTGTTAGACAATACTTGTAATTATCACAAAGGATGTTTTTATGGCATCGTGTCACCACACTATTTTTTCCCAGTATTGATATCGCGAATAATGAATCTGTGAACAGAATATCTGTGATACGTGCAAACAGTATTTTATCGCCCTGTTTGGTTCCCTTTCCGTGTCGTTAAGTGATATTTGTTATTGTGACTTTTCCTCGCGGAGTTGCAGTTAAATATTTATGCCATCTGTTTGGACTTATGCAGTCGTGTAAATTTTTTTGACACAGGCTCATGGAGAAATCTAATTATTAACAATGAAAATAGAAATAAAGCAGATACAAAGCGAATATTGAATAACGCGAAAAAAGGTGCTTCCCGTAGAAAATCAACATTGTTAACAAATCATCCCTAATTTAAAATTTTGTAGAAATATATATTATGGGAAATAAAATAAAAGAAAGAACGAAAACATAAAAAATGTTCTTATTTTAATGAATGAGTATCAAATTGTTCCTATATTATTCAAATCGTGTTTTTGATTAATTTGAAAGACTATCCTTTCACGTGGAGATAATAAATTAAAAAGAAAATCTTTTAAACTAAGATTTTATTGAAAATGTAATAGTAATAAAACGTACAGAACACAGAAAACATTCAATTGACTCTTCGCCCCCTTAACTTACTGTTAAAATAATAAAATTAAAATGAGTTATCTTCAGAGATGTGGAAAGTTGACAAAAGTGACAAACGCACTCAGGAACAAAAGGGGTACAAAGGTCTTACTGGAATATTATTTTGAGCTTTAGCTTAACCTGTCATATCGACGGTTAGTAAATAACAAAACATAATTTGAAAATGTGTTCAAGTTAAAAGAAAATTAAAGCATAGTTGAAACCTATCTTTTATAGCCTGCATTCGAGACTTCTCCAGTCTAATAAATTGAAAAAACGATTGTAAATTTCTTCAGAAATGTCAAAATATTGACTCGGCCAGTGTGTCGTCACATATCATTTGCCTACGTTTTACCAATTTGGTAAAAGAAGAGAAGTTGCGGAAAGATCATAATTACCCATGATGCATCGTGATTGCGCACAGTGTGATTCTTTTGTCCGCTGAAGACGAAAAATTGAGCTTACATGTAGTTACTCTCACCAATTTTCGAACAATCTTTGGAAAATATTCCTTAGTATTGATTTGAACTTTCCAATTTGTTACCTGTGCTGGGTTGTTCAAAGCTGGGTTAAGCCAAGGTTAGGGCTAAATGTGAATTCAGATATGAAAGCTTACGAGCAAAATCTGTTTAATTCTTTTTGTCTACAATTTGATGATTGTATGCTCTAAAAAGGATAACCAAAATTACCTGAAAAATGCTTTTGAACTAAAGAAGAAGAAACCCAAAATAAAGTTTAACCCTAGTAGCACTGCGCTAATCCGCCCTTCGAACAATTGGTCCAGGCCCTGTTTCTTTCCACCGTAAAAGTTTTAGGACTTTGAAAAACGTAATACATGCCATTTCTGAGCAACGGAACGATACTGCAAGGTATTGATCCTTTCAAAATGCCTTACCTTTTATTTGTGAAAAGTATAAGTAATCTTTTCTGCGTCCCACACTGAAAGATTTCATGGAAACTTGTAAAGAACCAATTTTTGCCGCCGCTTACGAACCTGCAATAAAGGGATATTTCTTTCTTTTTATGTTCTTTTTGTGAAGTAACTCTTGGGTACAAATTCAACTTAAAATGTAATTCTCATTTGATTATAAAGTCAGGGGCACCCAATGGATCTGTTCCTCAAAATATCTGTTCTTCAGGCACATTTTTGCTGGCTGAGAGATGTGGAAGAAATAATAGTACTTGGAAGGAAAGTGTTGCTGGGAAAAAGATAATTCAGGGTGTCAGAGGGGATTTGAAGTCTAGAATAGCTGCTACGCGTTACTTGTATGGGTTACTTACCACTCCAGATCTGAATTGTGCCCTATGAAACTTCCCAGTAAGTCAGGTTGCGGGTTGTAAGGTTGCTGGCTGGGAACTCTTCCATTAGTCTTACTGGGAGTGAGGAACAGATAATTTTTTTCCAGCAATCTCCCAAAATGCTTAAAATAGTCTCAGAAAACTTTATTCACGCTTTGTTGTTGTTGTTAGGTCTTTTTCTCAAAATTTCCCGTTGGGTGCCCCTGTTAAGTGACGAAAAACGTTATCTAAAATTCAGACACGCTTTTGTAGAATATTCGCTGCTTCACTAGAAACGGCAGTTGTGAGATACAGGGTATTCTCTTTGAATCGTGATCACAAAAGATTTGTTGACACCCAGTTTTAAACAATTTGACCTCAAATATTTCTGACGCCTGATCATATTTGTAACGTCTAAGGGTGTTATTTACAGCTTCTAGAAAGTAAAAGCCAAATTTTCACCATGAAATAAAATAACTTTGTTTCGTTAGTTACACCCGTTCCAACCGCAAAATTAAACGGCCCTCTAATGTTGTTCTTTATTCATCATAGAATAAAGCCATATTTTCTACACTTCACAAAAGAGGCGAGGAGTATTCAAGGTATCAATCAACGATCAGAAGGAAAGTCTGATAGTTTTAGAGACTAATGAAGACAAAGTTAGTTCTAAGGATTTAAAAGCGCTTAAACGTCTCCCACGTTTGTTTTACATAACCCTAGATAACGGTTTCACTGAGTTTCATTGTTCTCGGGCAATTATGGGTTATGCTCCAGCACCCATTGAACACTCACGCCAAAAAGTAGACATAGACAGTTAACATATTATCAGTTATTTTAATCATCACCGAAAACACTGGTGTCTGCACCAAAACTGTTATTTCATCTCTAAAGACGTGCAAGTGGACCATGCGGATACCTCTATATTGTCCGAATCGATTTACTCGATTAAGCATTGACGGCTTCAGGTGATTCAAACGAACTCGTTCAGTTTACTAAGTTATTCAAGCTTGCTCACTTTTTATCCATTATTCAAAGTCTTATGGCCTTCGGATAAAAGGTAAATTGAATCATTAACTAATTTGGGACGCCGGGTTATTTTAAAGTATACAACGTGCTTTCGTCTTTGTTAATTTCAGCCACAGGGCATGTGCAGCTAAGTTGTTTTTCGCGGTTCTCCTTCGCGTCACTTGCTTTTTTTAAACCTTTTTTGTCTATCATATCAATTATAGAACTTGCTCTCCGGATTTCAAATCGCCTATGGGCCTCACTCACCGATTTTCATACAATAAGCCGCCTGGAAATTATTATATAACTACTTCTTAGTCGTTCGTGACTCAAAACCAACAAAACCGTTCGCAAAACCAACGGTCTAGAAAACATCAAGAGTTTTTTCCAGGTGCATAGTCGTTTTGTTTAGGTAATTCTAGTAAGATCTGTGGTTTTGATCTTATTGTCTGTCAAGTGTGCATTTAAGTATATTGCGTCTTAGAATATACATAAGGCATAACAAGTCTCATCATTTCCAAACGTTGCTGTGGCACTACGGTTAGACAGTACCAAGCCAAGACGACTCTTAGCGACAGAAGGACAGCTTGAAACAAAAGATTTTTACAATGAAGAATATGGCTGTCTTTGCTTTTCTTTGCCTTTTTCTGGTTACTGCTTTTCAAGTTGTGGAGTTAAGAAGAATCAAAGCACCAATCTCAAGACACAGTTGGTCATCTCAGTCAGAGGAACCGAGCTATAACGATCGTAGACACCTGTTGAACAAGCCAGCAGTCGGTGAAAAAAAAAGGTAAAAACTGATTTCCTTTTTTTTTTTTAATTTTGTAAGATTTCAGTTAGAAAAATGATCGCCAACCGTGATTATCGAAAAAGTTTTTAGGATATCAACTTTTGAAACAAAATATATTTTGGTGCACGCCAAAACGCATTTCGCTCCCGCATTTCGTTTTTGTGTAGGGACCCGGCGTTATCTTTTTTAGCTTGTTTGATACCGCTAAGGTAACACGCCAAGACCCTGTCAGACTGCTCTTACTTAACCTTGGAAAATTCAGTTGGTTATTCGTTGCCCTAACGCAACATTTTACATTCAAATTTGCTTCAAAGTGATGTTCCAGTCCGTTAAATGTCAAACCTTTCATTGACCTTATTTTTTACAAAGCACGTTGTGTAGGGACCCGGCGTTATCTTTTTTAGCTTGTTTGATACCGCTAAGGTAACACGCCAAGACCCTGTCAGACTGCTCTTACTTAACCTTGGAAAATTCAGTTGGTTATTCGTTGCCCTAACGCAACATTTTACATTCAAATTTGCTTCAAAGTGATGTTCCAGTCCGTTAAATGTCAAACCTTTCATTGACCTTATTTTTTACAAAGCACGTGGCGTTAACAATCTGCTTGCCAACGCGTCAATGAATGCCCAACCCAATTTTAAAGGCCTTTTTGAATGATGCTAATGAAAACAATTTACGAAGCATAAACAAAGAACAATGAGGTCATCCAGCTATTTCAGCTCTTCGGCAGACGGCAGGTCTGGCTCTTCGGTTTGGTCTGGCTGATTTTAGTACAAGTCTGTATCAAAACACTACCCGGCGAATTAACATAGAAACAAATGTCTATTGCTATTGTAAAATGTTTATTTCTTTCATTTTGGTTCTTAGAATTCCTGAGTATATAACTCGTTTACACACACATAACCCCTTTAAACTTTTCTAAAATGTGAAATTCTTAATGCAAACCAAAGCAACAAACCGATGAATCGAAGTCGAATTGGTGGAAGAAGGCTGAAACATACGATATACAGGCAGCAGGATTATCCCGCCACCAATGCGATAGAAAATTAAATGAAATGGTCAGTCCTTTTAAAATGTATCCTTAATTTTATTAGTTCCTCATCCATTTTGTTGACTTTTTTATCATTTTGCCATCGAATTAGCCTGCGTCGCAGATGAAATTTAACCTCGGTTAGTAACGTCTACCACGCAGCGCCGATATTCTTGTACTGGGCCGCCAACGGACTCAATGAATTACCGGGAGTACGTTTCGAATTTCCTTTCATCTTGATTGGCAAATCGACAATGGCTTTTTCAACCCAGCCAATCATGGCGCGTACTCAAATCCTGGTACGCAGGTGCGAAACAAGAACAAGGACTTCGGCGCTGTTTCGTAAACGGACATAAACCACGGTTTAGTTTTGTCTGCGGCACAGGCTCCCATCGAATCGGTTTCGTGTAAAACAGCATGAGCGTTTTTTTTTCAGTTTATTTGGGAAACTGAGGTGTGATATATCATGTCTCTTCTTTCTTTTTTTTTTTTTTCATTTAGATTTTTCAGGAAATTCAACTTTAAACCAGTTCACAATGAAGAGGATCAGTCACCGCCATTCAAAATGCCTCGACCAGGAAAATGAGCACGTTGATCAGGAGGCAAATAAACCGCGTATCAGAATAAGCGCCTTATCAATTAAGAACTTTAACACTGCAGATATACTTTTCAATTTAACTTCTTTTAATGGCTGTCAAAATAAGATGCTAGGATAACTTAAGAGAAACCATGTTTTTGGAAAGAGAAACGAATAATGTATTTTATCGTACGATCTGAGTAAAACTGCAAACCAAAGAGTTGGTAACGTGCACAAACTATCTTCTGAACTCCTCCAACGTGGTAAAGTGGTACATTTTTAGAAAGTGTCTTGTAAAGATCTGCTTATTGAAATCACAAAATTGTGACCCCGCTCATGCATACTCTTCCCATGATATAGTTGACCAACCCTAAAATTTGTCGTTTTCTTGCGTGGAATACAGACATGATTGAACTAAGACATGTCACTTGAATCAGTGGATAAAGAAATTAGCTGAAATTCAAGCTAAGATAAAGTTTAGAGTATACCTTATATATAAGCAGATCTTGTTTAAAATCTTTCGTCCTTCAAAATCTATTAAAGTCCTTCAAAATCTGAAAAAAAAAGTTAATTTTTGCCGGATATTAAATATAGTTACATGAAAATCCACTTTAATAAACAATATATATTTGTAAGGGGGGGGGGGATAAGGAGGTCGTATTCAGGAGGGGTTAAATACGAGAGTGCGGGGGGACTTATAAGTGGCATAAGAAACGTTTGGGCACAAGATAATATAAGAAGGCACCTACCTTTCACAAAAAAATTCCAAGCTCTCATGATGTCTCAACACGGTGACAGGGGATGAAACAGGACTAACGTCCCAATAGATATCAACCCCTTCATTACCAGCCCATGGAAGGTTGTGCCAAACCACTCGGGTCTACGACCCCTACTCTTTACGAACAGCAGTGTGGGTTCTTTTACGTCCCACAAGAATCAGAGCAGTGAAAGAGGCAAGTGAGACTGGGCCTAAGGTTTTTCGTCCTCATCCGAGAAGACTAGAATGTCTAACCATTTGTAGATGTCTCAAAAAAAGGCAGCACATTTTTCTCATTCATTCTAAAACCCTGAGTGCTGGTCCAGCCCCTCCGCTCGGCCGGGGTTGAAACCCGCGACCTTCCGCTCGGAAGACCGGCAATTATCCAATTGAGCCAACTGGGCGGCGGAAAAAAAATTTTGTTAACATTAAAGTAGGGCCTATAACCGAAGGTTTAAGGTATAGAACTCAAAATATTTTTTCCTGACCTTGAATCCAACATCCACTTATCTTTCCTTTCAATTCTTCTCTCCATTTCCGTTTTTTTTTATATCAGTTTCAGGTGCTAGTTTTTGGAGGATCAGAAATCAGTGAAACTTGAAGATTATCATTTCGCGTCGCGGATGTTTTCCTGAATGGAAATATCTTATAAATGTAGGCCTTATCCACACCCATGCGTATTTTTCTCGTTTTGGAACCTTTTACGTCTGAGAAAAGTCCGAAAGAGAAAAGGGAAGGTCCCTTTCCTTCTCTCCCCAATCCCCTCTCCTTTTTTTCCACTTCCCCTTCCCTTTCGACCCCTGCCGCAATAGCTTTTTCGGGATACGGGATTTCCCTTATTTGAAGCTTGGGTTCGGGATTTTAAAGCAAAATCGGGGCGAGATTCGGGATTGAAAGTATGCGCGGAAGATGGGATGCCAAAATTAACCCTCGGGTTTACGGGATTGCAAAAAGCTTTTGGTCGGGATTACGGGATTGCAGAACCCTATTGGGGAGCCTTAAGCTATGAGCAAAAGACACTGTACTAGGTAAGTAGTATTAAGGAGCCCTGGTCGTATTCTTTAATTTTTAAAAAAATACTTGAATATCGGTTAATTCTCGAAAAAAAAGTAACTTCGGATATGCCACAAGTCTTCAAAAATGATAAGGTGGCAGTTACAAAAGTTTTCTTTAATCCGTCCACACCGACTATGAGAAACCGGCGTTCACAAAACGTTGCTGACTCGATTGCCGATGTCACTAAGTCCGTATGGACGGAAACCTTGATACAAAATACGCATAAACCTTCAGGTTAACCGAGCTAGGGTTCGCTGTTTAGGGAAGCAACACCACGCGTTGCATTTTATTTTCCTTTCTTTATTAATTTTCATTCTTTTGCTTTTTATCTTGTGAAGTGTCTTACAAATACAGTAAAAACCCAGATATAAAAACCTAGAATTTTCGAGATCAGGCTGAACAGGTTCGTATATTTTAGGGTGGTTTTCCCCAATTCAGGCTGATTACGATTGGTTCTTAAAAGGTTCTTATTTTTCAGGGGTTGTCATAGTGTAACCATTGGCAGAAATATTGCCGGTACCATTAATACATAATGGCAAACATTCAAGGTCCAAAAAGAACATCAATACATTTCTATATTTTTTAAATAAGATTTGAAGATGTTAATTAAATCGTCTACGTTACACGGTAGCTTTATAGAAAACATCTCTCTCGTGAAAATCCAAAAAAAATGTAAATCAAAGAAATCATATACACAAAGCCTTTGGTCAAAAGTTTCTCACACAATTAAAATGGAGAATTTTGACCATCAAAATTGGAGTGACTGTTTTGTATAAGAACCTATTTTTCTTTGCAAGGCTGAACAGGTTCTTATATTCTTGGGTATTTAAATGCCAAATTCCACCCGGTAGGTTCTAAGTTGTTATATGCGGGTTCTTACTGTATTCGATGATGCGCGGATCCTGATGATTCCGCTAAAGGAACTAAATGTGTTTGAACACGTTCCATCAAAGTGTTTTTTGCCTGTCTGCACAAATAATTAACTGTCTTTTACATACATTACTTACAATTTTGTAGATATGTTAAATAAGTTATGTGTTGATGTAGTATTTTCATTTGCAGTTTATACTTGAAATACAACATATGTTTAAATATTTGATGTAAGGTCATACGAGACCTAATCATTACATGATTAAGAGATTTACAACGGTTCATTTACAATATGTTAACTTCACAGTGGCACTCATATGATCGGCGTTGTGATCGTTCAAATAGCTGGATTTTTTCCAGCGATTGCAGCCTTCATTTTTAAACCAGACTTACCTAAAACTGTCACGAAGTTTTGAAAGTGAAAACAACTAAAAAAGAAACATACTGCGTGTGTTCACCTTTTTTAAACGATAGAAAATGGCCAAAACCCAGAAAACTACTTTAAAGCCAGGAAAAGGCCCGATTACCAGCCACTGTTCAGAAATGAAGGAGTCCGCTAGCCTGCTGCGAGGAGAGAGGGCTGTATTCGCAAGCTATGAGTCCGCGCTCCTCCCTACAAGCTTTCTTCTTCTCGGCACGAGTTACGTGGTGTATGTGGACGTTTGGTGTGTCAAAAATATATTGTAAGATAGACCACACCATATAGTCTCCTTCATAGCTCCCCATACATCACCTGCCTTGCCTAGGTTTCTCTGAGAGGAATCTGATTACAAAGCGTCGGAAATCAAGCCTACTATAAGTCACCATTTTTCCATTCAACGAGAATGAAGCGGAATGTTTGAGGATTTTACAATAAGTAGAGCCATTATGATATTTGCTATTAGACATCAACTATTTTCCAACATTCTTGCTTACATCCTCTCTTCATGGCACCCGAAATCCCACTCTACTTAGATGCCGTACACGTACTAATGGGAAGTGTTGTCTTTAAAGCAGTAAATTTTCATACCTTCTCCTAACGACCAAATCATTTTATATTTACAACTCCTTTACAGAAATAAAGTCCGTCATCATAACTAGAAAAACATACATGACGGGGTCGTTTAACGTTGTGGCATTGTTTTACGATATTATGATTAGTCACCGTGTTTAGCGATCAGTACCTCAGTGTGTAACATGACAAAAATATTAAGGAACCCTATAACAACGAAATATAATGAGAGCGGTAACACTGTGAATTGCTGCTAAAAAAAACACACACAACAACAACAAAGACGACGATGAGGCATGAAAACTGTTTGCGTATGAACACTTTTCTCCTCAGCCTCAGTTTTTAAATCACCAGTCCAGGAGATAGGAATAAAAGTTCCGAGAATGAAGAGTCGTTACGCCTGCAACAGAAAGAAGACACTTTAACTTCATCAAATAACCTGGTTTTGACGAAAGTAAAAGACATACTATATAGTACCCAAGACCTACTCTCATTTTATAACGCGTTGCGCGTGGAGGTGTGGGAAGAAACTCGCGCGTCGTTATCTGTTTTCCCGCGCTTTGCTAGACTTATTCTAAAGGACCTTTTCAATGTTTTCATTTGTTTGTTGTTTGGTTGGAAAGAAATTTTACCGAGTGTCGAAATTCCTCACGAAAATTTCCATCTCATATTATTGACTTTACAATATAAAGTTTGGTCGATTCTAGAGCTATTCAAGGAGGTAAGATAAGATATAAATGACTCTTACAACGCTATAATGTAAGTACGTGTAGCTTGTGCATTTAGAAAATGAAATAAGACTTTTTTATTTACC